ACGATTAAGCATATTTATTTACAAATAATAAAAAATAAAATAATCAGTACCACACAATCCAAAATTATAAATTAATAAAAATAAAAAGTAATTTTTTTAACAATAATAGTTATTGTATCAATCATCGTTAAGAAAAGTGTTTAAGTAATTATACCTAAGCTAACAGTATGATTTTTGTCTGCCATCTATAGCGACTAGCGCACTATATATAAGTACATCGCTCTAGGATATAATATAAATAAACTAATCTCAATAAAAACAGTCTCTCCTGAGCGTTGGCGAGTTAAGAAAAATTAGAATACCCTACGCATAGTGTGCTGAGAATCGTTTCCTGGTTGAGCCCAGATCTTGGCCAGGCTAATTGCCACGCCATGAACATAAACATCGACCGTTGGGACAGGGCTTCGCTATGACGCTGCCATGGTCATCGTCATCATGGGCGATTTATGATTGCATTTCCTGTGAGTGCGACTGCGACTGCGGCTGCGACTTTGAGCTGCAGGCCAAAAGCCGAAACGCGAATTGATCGGTCACCGTTGCTTTGTCGCCCATGGTGGCACCATGGGACTAGTTGGCGGACCAACGGAAATGCCACCGCGGTCGTCGGTACTTCGTTCTCCGTTCTCATTGATATTCCATGGAGACGGATTGCCGGCGACTTCGACCCTTGTCTAATAAGGTATTAATAAGTTTTTGCCTTGGCCAAGACCAGACAATTGCCGTTGCATTCTTGGGCTTCTTTGTTGGTTGTTAGCCGGTTGCCGATTGTTTTTGTTGATCGTGCTGCTGAATTTTAAATGCACGATTACCAATCCACACTAGGCAGCAGTGATTTCATGGATTGTGGGCTTGACTGCCCATAAAGCCGGAATATGATTCGCAGAATGATGAAATATAAATCGTTGCCAATACTTGAATTATCGTAAGCAGCATCGGATATATCGCCAATAAATTGGCATGCTTATAATGATTTATTCACAATATAAATAATTGCTTTTACATGAATCTTCGAACTTACTGCATAGTTAAAATTGAAAATTACCCTATTAAGTCTGGGCTAAAACAAAGGCTTTATTATTTCAAAGTAATAAATATTTGCAATTATATTTGCTTTAGTATGCACTGTGTTCCGACTCTTTTTCTGATCATTGAAACTTTATTTTCGTTAACATTTTTGCTGTTCAGTGTAAATGTAAGACAATGACACCCGGCAATCTGACTGATGCAACAAGCTAAAATTAACGTATGAATGTCAGATTGCTGCTGTTGCTGATGGGTTGCTGTTGCTGTTGCTGCTGCAACAAAGGTCAGCCAGCGCGTGCTGTTGCCAGTTGCCAGTTGCCAGTTGACGTGACCCGTTGGCAAAGCCAAGCCAAATCAAGCCAATCTGGAAGTGAAGTTGAGGCTTAAAGTGGTGATTAATTGGACACATGACAAAGATGCGTCAGGTTGTGGGAATCGAGCGGAGTCTGCGACCTTAGCCGAGAGTCGGACTGCTGGTTTTGAGATTGGCCATCGATTGGCAACCACTTGGACTGGCTGGACCTGCAGTGGTCACTTGTGACACACTCGAACGGGCTACGTGAGATTGGGGAAATTGGCTGGAGAGTGACTGTGGAGTGCTCGAGGGGCAGGAGGGGGCAGGGATACCAGTCCTGGGCCTGCTGCAGATGCCAATCGAGAGATAACCGCACACAGATACAAGCACACACTCACATTGGCCTACAATTTCAATACAATATTTGAAATAATTGGCTACAAATCGTCATTGCAGTTGCTGCTGTTGCTGGTTGCAGTTGCTGCTGCTGCTCGTAGGCCACAAATTGCAGTCGGCTTAAACTGCTGCTGCTGCCTGACCTACGACACCATCTCTCCTCCCCCAAAAACCGCCTCAAATTACTATTGATACTGATAGCAACTGCAACAGCAAGTTGCAGCTTGCAACTGGCAACTGCCAGCAGCAACATCAGCAGCATCAGTAACTTTTGTTCTTGTTCTCTTAATGCGTTACGGTAAATATTTTTGTCTTCATTTTTACTGTTAAGATCGAGATGAAGTTAAGGCATCATTCCCTGCCTCCTTCCTGTTGGTCAATACTGCTGGTTGCGGGTTGCTGGTTGCTGGTTGCCGGTTGCTGCTGGACTCCAATTAGCCAAGCACTCCCCATGCAACACATGCGGGCTTTGATGGCTCTAAAAAGCAAGTGGGGAGGGAGCTAGGGCCATCGAGGCTTGGCCAGGTGCCAAGAACTCAATCATTGCATTTGTTGAAACAATTGACGGTTGCTTAATGTGCAAAACGTGAGTCCAATTTGCATGACAACAGCAATAGCTGGCAGCAACCAGCAACAAACACAACGAGCAACCTTCATTAGGAGACAAAAAAGCATAAGTATTCTGCGCCGAAAGACTTGTGCAGCTTTTGATGTCGATTTATTTTAAATCGAAGTTGAACAATTTATTAAACTGTTGCCCATCGTAAGCTAAGCAGATCTTCAGGGATGACAGTGGGTAGCACTAATTTGATGTTAAATAACAGCAGAATAATATATTTTTTGATCACTCAATGATTTTTTTTAATTAAGAAGAAAAATTATAAAAGTATAATAGAACGTTAAAGATGTTCTGCATTTTGTTATTTTAAGTTAGACTTTCTTTTTCAAATTTCCATTTTTTCCCAATATTATATTTAATTTTTGGGTTTTATTAAAGTTTTGCAATTAATTTAAATTTTTTATTTAAGAATTAACCAAACTGGCAACGATATTTTAGACTTTGTAGTTAACCAAAATTTAATCACCTAATGACGGTTAAAACTTATGTATTTATTAGATTGAGTTTATGTACAAACATATTAGTTGATTGAAAATATTACAAAAGGATACTCGAAGTAAAAACAACACGAATAGATTTGTGAGACTATGTAGGTAACCAAAATTTAATCATTTAATGACTGCTTAAAACTTGTATCAATTTAAGTTTATGTTTTTGATATTTCAAATATTATATTTTTTAATTTAAAAGAAAAGGTTATTATAAGTATATGAAACGTATATTAAACGACAAACTGTCAGTGCAACCGATCCCCATCTTTCAGCTGCCTGTTGACCCCGATTCCGCTCCTCTTTTCGTGTCACGCAGCCATCGCGAGACTCACGCTCTGTGGCGATGCCTCATCGGCTGCTGCTCCGTTGCATAGGTCACGTGTTTCGTCGTGTGTCTGGCCAAAATATCAGCAATTGAACTATAGACATTTTGGCCAAATGCAGTAAGCAGGCCAAAATGCCGCGATCCCGCTTTTTGTCTAGCGGGAGTGGAGTGGAGTGGAGTGAAGCGGATTGGAGTTGCGGTTGCAGGTCGGCGCATCTTGGCAAATGTCAAATGCAAATGCGAAAAGCCAAGAGTCTGTCTGGCACCTGCTAACTCTTGCACTTTTCGCTGTGGCCATTTCTTTTGCCAGCAACAGTGTCAGTCATAATTAATACGCTTAATTTGAGTTAGTTAGTCTCGCTGGTGGCCAGGTTCTCGGTGGCTTCATTAAAAAGCCATTAGTGGGAGATGAATTTCGCTGACTATCATCCGCCACCGCAACCGCACCCTTCGCAACTTTCTAATTAGAAACTTTTCCAATGGAGAGCATAAATTTCAGCAATGTTTGTTCGATTTCCGATACAATCAAAGACAAGAGTCGAGTGTTGAGTGTGTCAAACAATTTAACTGCCTTCGGTGCAAAGGCAAGTTTGCGTGGGAAATGCCGTCGATCGTCACGATCAAAAACGGCGACGGGAAAACTTCCACCGTCAACTCCAACTCCAAGTACATGGAAAATGCAAAGTTGATTTTATCGCCGTCTCTAACTCGGTCTTTGGCTCTCTGTTACTGTCTTGGTCTAAACTGATTTGCCACTTGACAAATGAGTTGGCTGCCACATGTGCAATTTGCAAAACAATCCACCCACTTTAGGCCCCCTTTTCTCCTCTGCCTTCGATCCAACAATTTTCCGAACGAGCCAATTTGCCTCTATACCAGGCTAAACCAAAGGAAAACAGAGCGAAGCTAAACAAAAGAATTCTCCCGCTTTTGACTTTGACAATTTGCGCATTGATTTAGAAAATAGCTCTTCCACTGAATTGGAGCACTCTCCATATGAAAATGACATGGAAAACAGAAACAAAGAGGAGAAAAGTGCAGCTGAATGATGTCAGTCATTGGGCAGTTTAAACATCAAATACTCTAATATTTTCAAAATTAATTATTTTTCTTCGAAATTATTCGACAATTCAGCTCTTGATTTTATTCATATTTTCGTAACATGCAAAATAAATAAAATATGTTTTTAAAATTTTTTTTAGTGAATTAAATTTGAAATTATCTTTTTTGCGACTTAGAAGATTTAAGATAATATTTTTTTTTCTTTCTTTTGTACAAAATACTGAGCTCAGATTATAAACCATAACGCAGGGTATAAAAAAAAAAATTGAAAAATTGGCCTGAAATTGAAGCTATCAAAAAGGAACTTGCCCAGTTAAGCCAAGACAACGATTCAAACTCAAAAACAAAACAGAGGCAAAGCGCAACGAAATTTCTGTTTCGGTTGTTTCTGCTTTTTTTTTGTCTTTTATGGGTAGGATGGGGTTTCGGTGCAGGAAAAAAGTCATCATAGCCTGACCTTCATTGTTGTGTTGCTTCTAACATTTAAATTTGTTTTGCTTTTCCATTTTTTTCGGGTCTGCTGTGCTGCTTTTGTTTGGCTTCTTTTCGATTTCAACAGAAAACGTGCCAAATTTGGCTGCCAGTTGCACGTTCCCCAAATTTAATACAGTTCAGCTGGGTTTGGCTGTGGGTCTAGCTTTGACCCGGTCTCCGTTCCATGGGCAATGGTCTCTAGTCTGCCAGCAAGCTCTTGACACACATCCAGGCACCCATCGGCCTTATCAGGGTCTTATCAGCCGGTCGACGTTGAGAACTGCGTCCAGAGGCAGTCGAAATGAGGGCCTGATTTCAGTCGGACGCAGCATCTCCCTCTGAAATGTTGGACAAACTGAATCTGTGGTTTGTTCTCTATCTTCTTGGCCTCAGCCTCATCCAAGGGCGTTCTGTAGGCGGTGACACGGGAAACATTGGGGAGGAGGTGATTCTCTGCTTTCTGAATTTCGTTTTAAATATTATAAATCACCACGTTTACTTATAGTTTTTGGTACCTCAGCCTGATCCCACAATCTTTGCCTACAATCTGTAACGAGTACGTGGCTAGGGTGTTGTTGCATGACGATAAGGACGCACGCGCGATGGTCCAGCTGCTCCTTGTCGGCTATTTGGGGTGGTGATCTTGTCCTTCGTCACGAGCCAGTAAATTCTAAAATTTTATCGAATTTTCGCGTGCAGCGACAAGTGGTATGGGGTAGGAGAAATCATGTGAATCCGCGCCAGCACGAAGAGGGATAGTTATTTTACTCATGGAATTCCTAAAGTTCCTCGGGTGTTCTAACGGAACCAAATTTGCCCTCCCTGCCTTGGCCGTTCTTTACCGAAAACTTCCCATCATACTATCGAACGGCCCCTTCTACTGATTCGGGTTCTAGCGGGGACTCATCCTAGTCGAAGGCAAACAAAAATGCAATTTAGCTAATCATTATAAAATGTATTTAAAACCTAAATAAAATTCTTAAAATTAGAGAACATATTGAAAAGATATTAAATGAGAACATAAATGCATGCAATACAATTGAATTATTAAATTAATCTTTGCAGTAAGATAGCAATACGAATTTAAAAATCAAAAAAAATATTATTCGAGAGCGAGAATACGGAAATGGCAGAAAATTGCAGTGAAGAGTGCACGGCGAATTCAAATTGAGTGGTTTGTTTTACTTATTTCGAAATTCATCTCGCTCAAAAATTCGAGAGACAAGAGAGATGGTAAATCCGCTCCTTTTTTTCTTCTCCTTTATGGATTATTCGAACTGCTAGGTTTTGTACGGTGGGACGCAAAGTAATTCATTTGATATATATATTTTACAAAGACATATTAATAAAACGTGATATCTGACTCACCAACATTCCGGAGATCCACCGACGAAAGCGCTTCCGTAAGTGCACCTTAGGCTGAAAATTTAAATTTCTTCATATACACACTGCAAGCCCACTGTGCAAAACAACCGCAAAATTTTTCTCTTCTTTTTTTTCTTGTTGCAGCTCTTTCCTTCTTTTTTTTTTTTTTTTTAACACATTGGCTTGTTTGTCCACCCAAAAAAAATTAAAATAAATTATGCCTAAAGCAATTCGTGCTTCTAGTTATTCATTATTAAAGCCTTTCTGGCCTTCTAACCATCACTGCACTTTTCTCTTCTTTCCCTTCTTTTTTCTTACTTTTCCACTCTCACTGCTTATTTCACATAACCTAGACCGCAAAAAAAAAGGAAAAAAAAAACTTATGAAATAGCTTATAACCTATCCACTTTCAGCGAACTCCGACCGATCTCTGGCTTTCCGAACTGCCTTACATTCCGTGCGGCGACTTAACAATTATTCCGCATTGTTGTTCGACGAGTTAAATTAAATTTTCGTCCGAGCGTGGACCGAAACGTCTAAACTAGATCAGCGCGCCGAAAAACTGCCTGTCAAACTGAGCTTCGCTAAGTTTCGCTCGCAGGCGGGAGATAACGAAGATGATGAAGAGGGAATATAAATATTATGTGTAATTTGGGCAGGTGTTACATCTCGAGTTCTTTTTGACTCTTATGCCCTCTCTTAGTCCTAACTCCGCTCCCAGCGACTTAAGCTGATTAAATAATTATCTTAGGGAACTCTTAGGCCTTTGAGACCCTTTATGCGACGATAATTTCCCTTCTCCGTCGGATGACTTCGCTCTTCTTTAGGGGGACTTGATGAATTGTTCCCTCTACAGCAACGGCCGGATCCAATATCGGATACTAAGCGCCAAACCTAAATCAAAAATCACCTTTGTGTCTACAATCTTAGCAACCATTTCATTTTTTCTTACCCATAAACAGGATTTAGCGCTATATATATAATCTGGATATTCTATCCGTCACTTTACACAAGGCCACTATAGAGATATAATTTTCAAACAAACTTTCACCAACTAATTAAATACGAGACTTACAACTGAACTAAACCGCACTCGATGGCTGCCGAAAAGGGAAAGAAAGCCAGCAGCTCGTGGCTCTGGGCGGGAAGCTAAGTTAGCCCCCAAAAAATAACTCTCCGTTTTCCGGGATCATGACAATTGACTCTGTTGCCTCTTCGTCTCCGAAAATTCTTACCCCAATCGCGGCACCCAACTGACCACTAGATGGCGACACTTTCGGTTTTTGCCTCATAGATGGCACTGCCCATCGATGTGCCTGCCACAAGCGTTACAAATTCCCCCCTCACAAGATCAGACTTGGGGGTGACACACACAAGGCTGACCAAAACTGAGCTTGAGGCAGCTACCTTACTGTTTCATATCCTTAGCATGATATCTACCCATTAATCGTCCCTGCAAGTCTTCCAAATCATAGTAAGCATTTCCCCCCTTCTGGCGTACCCTGGCCTTAAGATACCTCGGACCCAATTTAGCATTATAGCCTGCTTGGAAATTGCTTTGCCTGAAATTCTTTAGAAATACTTCTTGCCCAAGGTCATAGGAAACGTCCTTAGCCCGCAGATTATAAAGTCGCTCGTTTTTCTCATTTTGCTTTTTCATAACTTCGACAGCTCTATTCCGCACTAACTCTAAAGAATCTTCTCTAGAAAATAGCGCAGAACGATCATCCAGCAACCCCAAAGCTCTTAGCAGCTTGTATGTCGATCCGGAATTTATAAAATGCTGGCCAAATACCATATAATAGGGTGTCGTTCCCAGAGAAGAGTGTACCGCAGATCTTAATGCACAGCAAATGCTGCTCAGCTCTTCGTCCCAATTTTTCTGATCGGGCCTAACATATGATCGTATTGCGGCTATCACCGACCTGTTTACTCGCTCCGATGCATTTGCTTGTGGCGAATACACTGCCGTGAATGAATGCGTTACCCGGTGGTTCCGAAGAAATTTTTGAAACGCATCTGATTTAAATTGTGACCCATTATCCGAAATAACCGTTTCTGGCACTCCAAACGTATGGAACAGATCCGTTTGCAGATATTTAATCACTACGTCCGCATTTAGTTTCTTGACTGCTTTTAAGAACACAAACTTCGAATAGTGGTCTAATACGATAAAAATGCCTATGTTACCGCTTTTTGAACGTGGATATGGACCCAGGAAATCAACATATAACCTCTGAAAGAATCTTCCCGACTCTGGTGGTACCCCTAGCAGAGGTCTCTGAACTGTATTAGGAGCCTTAGTCATTTTACACGTATCGCAAGAAAGTACATGGGCCTTTACATCCTTTACCAGACCAGGCCAATAATAATATCTTCTAACACGCTCTAAAGTTTTATGTATCCCTCCGTGCGAAGCCATGGGATGATCATGAGCATTCTTTAAAACTTCCTGAACTAACCCCTTCGGGATCCATAACTTCCAAATAAACTCGTCGTGAAGTGAATCCCCTGTGGCGTAATCCATTTTCTTGTACGCCAAACCATCGGTAACCTTTATATCTGGCAACTTTTCGCTGTTCGCTTTTAGTCGGTCCACAAATTCCACATATTCTGGAGATTTAAATTCTGCCGATTCCAAATCCACTACCAATCCATGTCCAGCATCCAACGCAGCCATATTTTCCTCGTTTACTCGAGACAGCGCATCCGGAACAACATTTAACTTTCCGCTGCGATGCTCAATTTTAAAATTGAATCCCTGCAGTTTCAGAGCCCATCTAGCTAAACGAGAATGTAAATCCGTTTGAGTCATAAGCCATTTAAGGGACGCATGGTCAGTAATAACTGTGAACTCATGACCCTCGATATATGCCCGGAATCGTTTAATGCAGACTAGTGCGGCCAGGCACTCCTGTTCACTAACTGAGTAACATTTTTGTGTTTTATTTAATTTTTTTGACACAAACGCTATCGGATACTCATCACCCTCAGCTGTTTTCTGCACTAAAACTCCTCCGACACCAGTTTTACTAGCGTCGCACTGCACAAAAAATGGTTTATTGAAGTCTGGACTACGAAGAACTGGCGCCGAGCATAACATGTTTTTTAACTCTTCAAAGGCCTGTTTTCCTTCCGCCGTCATGGCAAATTTCTGCTTCGGCTTTAACAAATCTGTTAATGGGGAAGCCACAGATGCAAAATTCTTAATAAATTTCCGATACCAGCCTACCATTCCCAAAAATCTTCGCAGACTTTTCAATGAATTTGGTAGCGGAAAGTTTGTCATGGCTGAGACCTTATCGGGATCCGTTCTTATTACACCCTCTCCCACAATATGACCCAAATATCTGACGGATCGCATGCAGAACTTGCTCTTTTCGACGTTAAGAGTCAACCCAGCCGCCTTTATATGCCCCGCAACTATCTCCAATACCTTTAAATGCGACTCAAAACTATCTGAGACAACCAGCAAGTCGTCCAGATAAACAAATACTTCGTTACGGAGTTCGGCAGGAATGACTTTGTCCATCAAGCGAGTCATAGTTTGTGAAGCGTTGGTCAGTCCGAACGGCATGACTTTATATTGATAAAGAGGCTTTCCAGGTATAGTAAACGCCGTCTTATCGCGAGATTGAGGATCGAGAGGCACTTGCCAGTAAGCATCTTTGAGGTCAAGGCTTGAAATATACATTGCTTTTGGGAGACGCCCTAAGATGCCATCTATTTGGGGAAGCGGGTACGCATCTTTTCTTGTTACTGCATTTACTTTTCTGCTGTCTAAGCAAAGGCGAACCTTCCCTGGTTTTTGAACCAGCACAACCGGTGACGACCAAGCACTATCCGACTCTTCAATTACACCCAGCTTCAGCATACGGTCTACTTCGGCATATAAAAGTTTTTCCACAGCCGGCGATACTGGAAAATGCCGCTGTTTTACTGGCCTAGCATCTCCAACATCAATCGAATGCGAGAGAATACTTGTCTTTCCCAACCCAGAAACGGAAAACGAGGGAAAGAAACTAACGACTTTTTGCAAATCTTCACTTTGTTTTGCCGTAAGACTATGGGTGTCAGACACAATTTCAGAGATCTGCATTTCTGTTGGCAATAAACCAAATTTAGTCCAAAAATCAATCCCTAAATATAAGTCTTGACTGAGAGTTGGAATTAGATGGAGATCCAATTCATTTTCCTGATTGTTGTACTTTACTACAGTTTTTATTCGACCAACGACTTCTTGCTTCGTTCCGTCGGCGGTGCATGCTGAAGTTGTTCCACGCTTAAAAGTAATTTTACTTCTTATTATTTGTTGAGCCAGGTTTCCGCCTATAACACTAATAGCTGCCCCCGTATCCAATAACCCCATAACAATACGATCCAAAAGACTCACTTCGGCATAGGGACGCTTATCCTTCTCCTTATACCTAATCGTATTTATTGTTTTCAAAGCTGCCCAATACCCTCTCATTCGCTGTGCATTTCTGGATTGAGACTTTTGATGTTTTAAACAACTATGTATTTTAGATGAATTTATTTGTAAATTTAATTTCTTCGACCAAAAAGATTTTTGAACAGACGTTGGTGCTGAAGATTTGGGATTTTCTATTTCTACA